TTTAAAAAAAAAAAAAAAAAAAAAAAAATTATTATTATTTTAAAATGTGAGTAAATAAGTATAATTTTAAATTTTTAAAATAAAATTATTATTCAATAGACTTATTTTTTACCGTCAATTTATTCTTTATAATAAGCGTTTAATCTCTATGACTTTATATATTTAAAAATTATTAATTTTGAAATATATTTAATTGTTTGATAGTACACGATAAGCATATACAATCAATAATAATAATAATTTATATAACCTTTTTAAATAAAAATTTATGAGTAAGATGGATTTACAATTAAATTGGGTTGAATGGAATTTATCTATTATTAATATTTTTTTTCTTACACTACAATTTTATATTTCTAAAATTAATTTTTAATTATTTATTATCCAACTATTCTCAAAATAAAATTATAAGCATAATTTTTCAAAAATAAATTTTAACCCTATGATTTTAGTTATATTAAAAAGAAATTGAATAAATTATTCGACTAACTCGATCAACTCAACCCAATTATTTTATGGTCGAGTTAGGTTAAGTTTGGTTCGGTTTATTACATAAAAATAGTTGTTTGAATTACCACTGGAACAATTGAGTTGGATTTAAAAAATCTCTCTACCTGACTTAACTCATCCATCCGAGTCATAGTCAATACCACGGTATATATATAATTGGAAGGAAAAAATAAAAATAAAAATAAAACTCTCAAATAATTATAACAAGATTTATTATTTGATTCCTGTAATCTAGATGACATCACAACAAATAGGGCCAACCGGGCCCAAGTGACCAAATTACTCGCGCCGAGTAATTGAGTTGCGATATTGTAGGCCCCATATTTAGTAATCCTGGCTTTGGTCATCACAAAACCCCGAGCCAAACGCATCTGTCCATCACCGCACCAATCTCGGTAGGAAAAAGAAGCCAAATCAACAATACTAACAATTTTATTTAAGACTTCTTACTATCTATTTACTTCAAAAAAAAAAATTGTAAAAAAATTTGTTTCCCATTGGCTCTCACTGCGGCAATCTTCGCCGGTGATCTTCCGGCCGATAACTGTGTTCTTCAGCTTCCAACGGAGTCAATACTTGTAGTGGCAGCCTTCAGCATTTCTCTGTCACATTCTCCGGCCTCGAGGTGATTCTTCGTTTATCCGACTATTGCAAACGTTCTCTGTTAGGTCATTACGCTTCTTCTTAATCTTCATGGCAATGCCGCATTGTTCTGTGGATTGTCTTCAATGTTTAGAAATTTGAGATGACGATCGTATCGAGTTTTGTTGAGGAGGCTTAGTATTTGCCGCTTATAGCATTTTGCATTTAACGTATGTAATGGTTGTTGAGATGTGGTTCCTGATTTATTAAGCCTGTTCGTTTAGCTTTTTCGGAAAGGTTACCTAATTTTAATCGCTGTGATTGGATTAGTGTTTTGACGCTATCGAGTGAGATTCATTTGATCGTGTTTTAGTTAGTGAAATCTTTGTATTCACGATTATCATTGGCATGGAAAATTATGTTTGCTTTTTCTCTGTTGCTAATTAATGAATTTCTAACCACTATCACATGCTCACCAATAATCTGTCATTCAAAGAATGTGGTAAGGTTGAAACGCTGCATTTGTTTCTTTCTCTGTTGTCTCGTGAGAATCTCACGCGGTATTGAAAATCGCATAGTCTTTGTTTTATTCTATCTTCTCCGTCCTTTTGCTTCTTCAGGGGCTGTATAAACACTCATATATATATATATATATATATATATATATATATATATGTGCGTGTGTTTGCGTGTTCTTGGAATTCAATGGTTGTTTCTTGTAATGCGAAAAACTTAGCCAGTTGCATTGCTTGGTGAATTTTAGTTCTCGTAGTTGCTTTAATTGGCTCCAGCGATGGGGGCTCCATTCGAGGGAATAGCAAATGATTTCAAGGGGAGGATAGCATGCTACAAACAGGATTGGGTTTGTGCACTATGTTCAGGCGTCAGGTGCTTTTTCCCCGCCCTTAAAATGCCAATTCAAGAACAAATTTTATACGGTGTCTTGAATTTCTTACAATGCTCTAATCTACCTGATGTTGTTTTTGCGTGTTCCAGGATTTTAGCTCCTACTATGTACATTTTCTTCGCCTCTGCTCTTCCTGTTATCGCCTTTGGAGAGCAACTTAGTAGGGATACAGGTGCATCTTCATCTCTGAAGTGCATCTTTTTGTTTGTTTTTCATTTCTATTAACTGGAATTGGGTTCTTATTTCAATCCTTTTTCTCTTCGAATTCTAATTATGTTTAGGTGGAAGTTTGAGCACAGTGGAAGCATTAGCCTCAACTGCGCTGTGTGGAATTATCCACTCAATATTTGGGGGGCAGCCTTTGCTGATTTTAGGAGTGGCAGAACCAACAGTTATAATGTACATTTACCTGTACAATTTCTGCAAAGGCAGGCCGGAGTTAGGGGGCAAGCTCTTTTTAGCGTGGGCTGGATGGTAAGTGAATAAGTTTTCCAGATAATAGTCCCCTTCTTCCTCCGTTTTGGTGGAAATTTTGGATTATACTTACTATCTTCGTACGCGTAGGGTGTGCATCTGGACAGGATTCTTCCTGATTCTCCTCGCAATCTTCAATGCTTGCGCTGTCATCACCAAATTTACAAGAGTTGCGGGGGAATTATTTGGCATGCTTATTGCTGTTCTTTTCTTCCAAGAGGCAATAAAGGTATAAATGATTGACATTCATTACAAAAGAAGGAGAAGGATTGAGTGAGTCATACTAAATATTCTAATCACAGGGATTGATCAGCGAGTTCAATATTCCCAAGTCAGAAAATCCAGAGGAAGTGAAGTACCAATTTCAATGGTTGTATACAAATGGGTTGCTTGCTATCATTTTTTCTGTGGGTTTACTCTTCACAGCCTTGAAAAGCAGACATGCTAGATCATGGAAATATGGCACTGGTACAAACTTGAGAGGGAGTTAACATCTGCAAAATTTGAAGTCTAAGTTAGAGATCAATTCAATTCTTACTTATTTGAATTTTGGCGTGCAGGGTGGTTTCGGAGTTTCATTGCGGACTATGGGGTTCCACTTATGGTCGTGTGTTGGACAGCATTGTCTTATGGAGTTCCCAGCAAAGTTCCAGATGGAGTTCCAAGGAGACTCTTTTGTCCATTACCTTGGGAACCAGCCTCATTGTACCACTGGACTGTAGTGAAGGTGAGGTTTCTTTTCTACCTTAAAGCTATCAAGTTATGAAAGCTCATAAACGTTTGGGTAAACAGAGCTTTATTATTAATTTTGTTCATAATCCAATCCATTTACAACTACCAACAATTGGAATTAAAAGTCTACTTCACATGCTCAATTCGCAGGACATGGGGAAGGTTCCGCCGACTTTCATCCTTGCTGCTTGTCTGCCAGCCATGATGATAGCAGGTCTATACTTTTTTGACCATAGTGTTGCATCACAATTGGCTCAACAGAAAGAGTTTAATCTTCAAAAGCCATCTGCATATCATTATGACGTCCTCTTGCTTGGGATTATGGTAAATATTTGTTCAAACTTGCTTTCTTTTACCTTGTGTATTTATCCTTTTACCAGCATTACGAGCTTCTGTGTTTTTGTTGTTACAGACTTTGATTTGTGGATTGCTTGGATTACCTCCTTCTAATGGTGTTCTCCCACAGTCCCCAATGCACACCAAGAGTCTGGCAGTGCTTAAACGGCAGGTGTGTAGGACAAAATTCAGAAGTTTTATCCTATATTCAGACCATTCTTAGTGGATTTTTAAATTTTGATATCATTTGCAGCTAATTCGAAGAAAAATGGTAAAGAGTGCAAAAGAATGTATCAAACAAAAAGCTAGCAACTCTGAAATTTATGGAAAGATGCAGGCTGTGTTCATTGAAATGGACACATCTCCAACTGTAAAACTCTAAACCTTGTAGTCTCCCTTCTTTTTTTTTTTACTCCGAGAATGGATTATATAATGCACCTTTTTTCTCTTATTGCAGCCTAAAGAGCTAGAAACCTTGACAAAGGCAGTGATGAATGCTGATGATGGTAATCAGGACGGAAAATTCGATGCTGAGAAAAATATAGATCCTTATTTGCCTGTTCGTGTGAATGAGCAAAGGATGAGCAACTTGCTGCAGTCTTTCCTTGTTGCCTTAACATTACTTGCTATCCCTATAATGAAAATGATACCCACTTCTGTTCTGTGGGGATACTTTGCTTATATGGCCATTGATAGTCTCCCAGGAAATCAGTTCTGGGAAAGGATGTTATTGCTCTTCATTACACCCGGTCGGCGTTTCAAGTAAGTCGACTTAGGCTTAGTTTGCAAGTCCTATCGTTTAGTCATAGCAACTTATAAATGCCTTTCCTAACATACTTGATGTTATGTTTCTTCTTCGTGTTCTACAGGGTCTTGGAGGGGTCTCATTTATCCATTGTTGAATCTGTGCCATTCAAGATCATCGCATCATTTACCCTCCTTCAGTTTGCATATTTCTTGCTGTGCTTTGGTGTAACATGGATACCTGTAGCTGGAATCATGTTCCCACTTCCATTTTTCCTCCTCATTAGCATAAGAGAGCATGTGCTCCCCAAGTTCTTCCAGCATAGCCATCTTCAAGAGCTCGATGCTTCGGAGTACGAGGAGATTGCCGGTGCTCGACGTCGTGCCAACGTTCCGGTTCGTCTAACTTTCTCTTCTATCAAGGACTTGAGCTTAACTTTCTCTTCTAAATTTTTGTTTCCCATAATGTCTGCTTAGGAAAAGGAACGACCTGATACAATTGTGGAAGAAAATAACGAAGAATACTATGATGCGGAGATATTAGATGAGATGACAACTCATAGAGGAGAGTTGAAGCTTAGGACTGTAAGTCACAACGAAGAACGGTTCCTGCAGGTTGGAAACACTGAATCCCCACTCCATCCAACTATTTTACCCTTTTGCTTCTGCTTTAACTCATTATTGTCATCATCCAACATTTTGAATTTCAGATTCATCCTGAAGATTCCCTTCAAAGACAATGAATGAAGCAGGTGGAAGCAAAATAGGACAATAAGAGAGCGTTTGATCGAGCTCGATGCAACATGATTTCGACAATCGGTTGAGAGTGAGTATACGGGAAGACATTTTCTTCTCAAAGAAGACATCAAGTTTTACATAAACCGATTCATTATATAAACATGCATACAAGAAAATAAGATCTTAGAAAAGATTTAAGTTGTTATTCAATTTACAATAGGGAAAGCTTTTAGAGAATCAAAAAGCTTTTAGTCATTCATTCATTTGATTATTGAAAATTAAAAAGGTAAGGAAAGGAAAGGACGGTGAGGATCGGCTATTGAGATTATTAAGAAAGAAAGAGAGCTGTAGTTTTTTGTTTTTTGTTTTTTTTTCCCTTTCCTTTCCTTATTTTGGTTCACTTTATTACTATTTCTTCTTTAAACTATAAATTTATGGTCAAATATAGAATCTATGTATTTCAGTTCTTGTTGCTTGCAGATTTCTGTCATGCTTTATGTGCAGACAGTTAAACTAAAACCCAAGTATTGGTTTTATATTTGGCTTGTGTTCTTCTTCTGTTCTTTTGTGTTGACTTTTAAGATCACAGCCTCTTGGAAGTTTGAGCAGTGATGATATACAATCAGAGCCCGAGCCCCTGGTTTTGAGTCTGAACTTCGTGTTTGTCTAATATGTATGTCCAAACAAGTACAACAATCTTTGAACCTAAAAAAAAAGAACACTAAGCTGTGTGAACCTAATTTTATATGTTTTTTTTTTCTTTTTTTTCTATTCTTTTGTTTCAAAAATATTAAAAATTATGGTAAATTATTATATGTTAAATATTAATATTGATATAAAATAATTAAAATAATATGCATTACCAAATTTAGCAAAGGTTTTTTTAAGAAAAAACACAGTGGCCTTCTGAACTAAGCTGAAGTTCATCTCCGTGGTTTTGTGTGTGGCCTTTTGTATTGGGCTTCAACTTATTGGACCGGATAATATGGGCCTAGAATGATGGGCTGGTCAAGATTGGGCTTCTCTTGGTCTTTTTAGTGCTAGATCTTAATGGGCCGAAGTTCATCCTAAATAAATGCCCCTTTGACGGGAAATTATCCTTTCAGCTAATGGAATTCCGATAAAAACCTCAATTTGTTAAATGAATAAAAATACCACTAAATTTAGTATTTTTCTTAAAATTAACTCTAAATTAATATATATATATATATATATATATATATATATATATATAAAAGTACCTTTACTATTTAATTAAAAAAAAAATTTAAATACAAAAGTACCTTACAATTAGTATAATATTTAAAAAATATTATGAGATTTTAAAATTATTATTAACGCCCTTTATCTTTATTAAAAAAGAATTATTAATATATTAAAACTAAATAAATGTGTCTTCTAAACTTTTTAATATTAGTTTTGAAAATTCACAATTTTGAAACGTGTTCTAGATCAAACCGAAACTCCGACAACTGAGAAGAGCCATTATGTACCGAACAATTTACCCTTTATTTTCAATCTCCTCTTGATTTGTCAATTCAAGAGTAATTATTTTGGAAGAATGTCTTTCACATATTTATCACGATGTTCACGTATAAAATAAAAAATGTTCTTCGAAAAACTTATAAAATTGAATTTACTCGGATGTTACTTATATTGAATCATTTATAAAGTCAACAACTTTTCAAGATTAAAAAAAAAAAAACATTCATCTTATGGTTGGTTAGTAAATATCAACCTAAAAATATTAGGACCACCGAATATACAAATAAATTCAGAATTTATTCTCATTTTCAACCACAAAAAAAAAGTATAAATAAATAAATAAAAATTGAAGTAGACGATTGGGGCATAAATGTGTGCACGTGCAATTGCCCTCTGTCATTTTCCATTTCCATCATCGTGGTTTGGTTTAGTGTCAAACCAATGCAGCCGGCCGAAAGGTGGCCGGCGATTTCCAGCTCCTCGGCCGCCATCTCCGAGCAAGTTTAATCAGGAAATCGACGGTCGGCCGGCGACCTTCAGCTCCGCCACCGCCATCTCCGAGCAAGTTGAATCTGGAAAATGACAGTGCATGTGAAATAATGTTAAATAATGAACGTAACTGTAATTGCAATACACAATTATAAGACCCATCTCCCTCTTCTTCTTTAACCATTTGGTTTGATTTCTTCTAAATTTTCCATCCCTTTCAATTCTCACGTCTTTGTTGTAAAGTTAGAGAGACAAAGACAGAATTTTAGTTGATCAATAATAGGTGTGAGAGAAGCTGATACAATATATATATATATATATATATATATATATATATATATATATATATATATTTGTTTGGAGGTTGGCATTGTCAGTTGGTGGCGAGACCAAATCTCTCAATTTATGGCTTCTTTTTTTCTTTTTTACTTTGAGAATTATCATAAATATTTTGATCTCTTCCCTGTTTTCATTCATTATACTTGTTGTTTTTTTAAATAAAAAATGGTAAAAAAATAGTTTTGGAAGGAGTTAATGAAATAAATATGTTTTATAATAAATTATTTGATAAAATTGTCGTTTTCACGGTAGTTAATATTATTTTTTTGATAGTATAAAATTATTGATCGCGTTGAAAAATAAATAATAGATAGATTTGAGATTATTTTACATATATAATAAATAAATAATAGGAATATGATACTTATCAAATGACCTCGTTTCATATCCGAGTTCGAGATGACCTAGTAGCGTGAGATGAGACAAAAACATTTATATGCTTCTCCAACCCGATTTCTTATGAAATTTGTAATGACTACTTCAATGGCATTCAAACGTTTAAGAGAAAAAGAGTTTGTTAATCAATCTTGAGTGGGTAGTATACATATTTTAAAACCTAACTATATTATATAATTTAAGAGATCGAGAATCACAAAGCACCATATCTAGACATAGACGTAAATATCATATTTAGATTGTGCTTTCACCCACCACGTTATGTCTAACTAGCTATCTCACCTAGCTCGGAGTGTTTGCTTTATTGAGCTTGATCATGAGTCTAGATAGACACTTCTTATTCAACCACATGACCATATTATATAGTTTATCAGTGATTATCACATTTACGCGACGTTTGGTCTTCTTTTAATTTTATGGACCATTGAACACAAGTCGGCCTTCTATTCTATCGTCGGTTCGAGTCTGGGACGCTTCCTGTACATTCACTACTTCAAGTCCGAGCTATGGTTCAAATAGATATCTTTAGGTGATTGAGCCACGTGGCAATCTTTCTTTTTAAAAATATATTTATTATTTTTTATGCATAAAATGGATAAATAAGCAATGGAAAATAGATGGAACCAAAAACTGTAATATATTGGGGAATTGCCAGGTAGGCCTAACATCTTATCTTGAGAGACAACCTTAATTAATGCGACATGAGCACGTGGATAGTCGCATCACCACTGGATCTAGCCAACGGAATCGCGTCGGTAGCCGGTAGGCTTGTAAGTCATTATAAAAAAAGGCCTTAATGGGCTCAACTCAGATCTAACCCGAAAACGTCAAATGATTTTCAAGGCCCCCACCAACTTTGGGCCCATAGGCCCAATATTCCGGCCCTTCACTTGACAGCCGCCATTATTGGGATGCCTGACCTTGAGAGCTACGTGTCTCAACACTTACACGTGGCCACTCTTCTGGCCTCTTCCTATTTCTAGTTTTGTGTAATTTAAGAAAGATTTTGTCCCTTTTATTTTATTTTGATACACACACAATAATATTATTCTTTCGAGAAAAATAAAATAATAGCTCAAATACCATTTTAGTTTATAAATTTTAAAATTATTTTATAAAAATAGAACAATATTTAAGATAATAATAAAAATAAATAGCAATAAATATATGCATGTGTGGGGATTCCGAATCCACGGCAAAGGCACATGCCCATCTTCCCTTCAAAATCAAATCCATATCATATATTCCCTTAAATTTCCTAAAATAATTATAATTATTTTTATTAATGTTTTAATAAATTATAAAAGTCGAGAGAAATTCAGTTTCATTGATTAAAACAATATAATTATATAAATGAATTATCAAACTAAATATGTTTGCTAAAAATTTCGAATTTTTATTATTTTCCTTTCATTTAATTAATATCAAACAAAATAATTAAATTTCGATTTAGGAATGTCTTTTACCATTTATTTGATTATTTTTTAAAAAAGGTAATGCTGTCCACGAGACATGAAACGCAGTCGTTTTGGATTTGGATGGCTACGTAACTCCTTGTTCTTTAATCCTCTCCCCATTTTGTTCTACAAAAAGACAGTTTTTTACTTTATTATCCAAAACTTTTTTTTTCTTCTTTTTAATATTTAATTTTATTATTTCTATTAAATGGATTTTCTATATGTATTTTAAATATTTCAAATTCATTACCCACGGATGGAACAAATAAAGAAGCAGATTTTTTTTTTCTTTTTTCTAATAAGTTATTTAGTTTATTTTATCTCATCCTAAAATAAAAAATATATATATAAAGAATAAAAAATTCGTCGTATAACTAATCTATGACGTAACAAATATTATTAAATTTTAATGAATCGATAAACTAAGCTTGTATAAATTATTTAAAATTAAATTGTTATATACTAATTTTTATGAGATTTTTTTATGTGAATTAAATTATTCCATATTTAAAAAGTTTATAGAATAAAATTATTATTATTATTAAGCAAATCATTTTAACCACGATCGAACCTTTCAGGTTTTTTATTTTATTTTTTATGTTTGACTTATGTTTGGTCAAATGAAATCTCAACAAACAGTCCAATTTTTTGTTTTCTCATAAAATTCCATTAAAAATGGAAAGTAAATGAACTCGGTAATTATTTTTTTACTAACTCTCACTTAATTGTATGCATTTATTTTATTATTTAATGTCGTAGCTTTATAAATAGCATTATTTAGAATACAATATTTAATAATCCATTTTTTCTCCTTAGACTTCATAAATCATTTTTATAGTCTTTACTTCAACATTGCTTTAAATTTAAAAATTATGATTTAATAATTTAGAATATTTGATACTTATTTATCATTAGTATCTTCGTTTAATGTAAAATTTTGATTATTTTATTTTATTTTATTTTTTATTTTTTTTTTGTAAAATATAAAACTAAAATTAATTTAGATATTTATGAGGTTCAAATCATTATAGGAATTATAAATACATTTGTTTTAGGAGAAACAAATAAAAGGAATGTATTAAATTTCAACCTTAAAAATGTACTAAGTTCTCTTAATAAAAATTAAATAAATATTCGCTTCTTATAATAAGGTTTCAACATTATATATTATTACTAAATTCAACTTTTTTTAAATATTCACTTCCTCGAACATAAAATTCATTTGTCTAATAAATTTTTTTAATTTTACGTGTGATAATTTGTAAATTTTTAAAATATAAAAAAATTTATTCATTTTTTAAATATTAAATTAAAATTTTAAGTATTTATCAGTAAAATCCTAAATTACATTTATTATTTAACAGTGAAGAATATGGAAATTTCAAATTAAACCAAAATTTAAACCTAATTCGGATTTAAGACGGTGGAATGAGAGAGATAGGCGAACTAGAAAAGTCCAAAAAGTTTCATTTAAAAAAATTAATTAAAAAAAAAATGAAGGTTGAAGGGCGGTGGTTCGAATCCTGTCGACCACATGCAGAAACAGACGAGACTTAAACCCGACCCGGCCCACTTCGAGAAGGTAAATTCGTTTAATTAAATGAAAGAGGCCCAGTAGGAACCAGCCACGAACTTATGGAGCTCTCATGTTCATGGGATTGTGTCGTTTTCAGTACACTTCCTGGGCCCCACCACCCCTCGTGCCATGTTCCTTTGCTTTTCTTCAACCTTCTCTGCTTGGGAAAATTTCTTGGAATTTTTTTTTTTTAATTTTTCTAAAATATTTTTCAGTCACTATTTTAATATATACATTTTACAAAAATTAAAAGTAATCTTCGATATTAAATTATAAATTTAATTGTTGTAGGATTTGTTATCCACTTTTAATTAATATTTTAAAATTTGACCGCAGTCGATAGATCGTAAACTTTCCATGTGACTAAACAATCATATAAATATTTTAAACTTACGAATCTAGAAACGACATTTTTGTTCGATCCATTATATAGATATAGATCAAATTTAAAATTATTTATTTATTTTTACTCTATAAATAAATTAATACATAATCAAAGAGATCAAATGACAGGTTAATCAAACCCGACACATTATTAAACTAAGCATTCTTGACCATACAGTTATAGGATTACTTAAAAACCAAATCAAGTAAAACAATATTTTATGAGGAGCTCATTAAAATAACTATATGATTAAAAATAATACATGCATATCATATAGTTTGTGTAGGTGATATCTAGGGATAATTAAATTTAAAATATGCAATTATTCCTCGATTAGTGCACATGGGGTTGTTCTCGTATTTACAAACACTTGAAATCTCATGATTCATTTTTTAAACTTATAGTGTTGGGGATGATCGTGTAGTTCTTTGATGATTCAATTGCTCTCTATTGGCGCACATGGGCGATCAAGCTATGCCAATGTATTTGCTGTTTACATTTTTTTTATTAGTTACAAATTTAGACCTTAAATTTTGAAGTTTTGTATGGGATTGATCCTTAAATTTTCAAAATTATAAATTTAGTTAATGTTGTTTTAAATTTGTTACAATATATAAATTTACGAAAAAATTAATATTTAAAAGAAATTTAACTTAATTTATTTGATTCGAAGATTTTGCTTAAATAATTCATTTTATTATAGCTCTTATTTTTGTTAGACTAGTTGCTCGTTTGGCTATTGGTTAACTTTACGTTCATGGTATAAGTTTAGTTAGATAAATCTCTAATATGATATGTTGAAATAGTTAACTTGACGTATCAATAAAAAAAAAAAATTACGTATTTAATATAATAATTTTGATGACAAAAAGAGACTAGAAAGTTTAATCAAATTATTTAAAATATATTTATATTAAATAATAAAATTTAAATTCAAATTAAATGGACCACCCAATTAAAGACTTTTTAAATTATTGAAATTAAGTGAAAATTATTGTCAAATATAGGAGCTAAATAGAGAATTTATAAATTATATTATTGTATTTAAAGTTGGTAAAAACTATCAATAATAGAAATTTGTTTTCTTTTTTTAAAACATTACTTTATATATAATAAGTTTTGTCTGAGACTTAATTAATCAAAAGTCGATGGAAAAAAAATGTGAAAAAAGGAGTGAATTTTGAAAAATTCGAGGGAAAAATTGGATTTATTAAGAGGGCGACAGAGAAAACCATGTGATTAACAGGCTTTTGTCCCATTTTCCGGTCTTTTTTATTTATTTATTTTAACCATTTAGGGCACATAAACGACAAGTTCCTCATATTCAGTATTTCATCGATGGCAACTTCCGTTATTCTTCGCCAACCCCAAGGGCTTCTTTGTATCCTCCAATGCATATAATCTCCCTCTCCCCCTCCTTCACTCTCGGCATCTCTCCTCCCTCCGTCTCTCTCTCTCTCTCTCTCTCTTCCTTCAGAGAACTTCCACAATGCAGAACGCCGCCGTCATCTTCTTGTCGGTGCTTCTCTCCGCCGCCTTCCATCCCGCTCTCAGCCTCGTCGACGGTAAGCTTCCTCTAACGCTTCTTACTCTCCGATCACCTTCTCACCGGAATATTGCGTTTTTGTTCCTTTGATTAGGAACTTCAGTTCCTGTTTACTTTCTGCGTGAGCAAATACGATTATTTTAAAATAGCTTTAAGATGATTTTAAATAATAATGTTTTTTTTTTTTTACAAAATTGTCCCTTGAGCGTAGAATTTACTTTCTATGGATAATGACCAATCCGACCGAGCTGGGAGTCCAGTCGGTCACGTGATAGCGAAATATCAACAATTCCAAACCGACACGTTAAAGCTGTGAATACAGATTTCGTTTTATGGACGGCTGTGATTGAATTTGGAGATGGGCCCCACTGCTTCGCTGGCGCTTTATAAGCTGATGGGAAATTGGGATCCCCAAATCCCCACATGATTTTTCAATTTTAACCATTTTTTTATAATTATATTATACAAAATGCCCGACTTTGAATGATGTCTTTAATTTAAAATTTAATTCATGTTTTTTTTCAGGGTATTTGCCAAATGGGGATTTCGAGAGAGGTCCAAAGGCGTCGGACATGAACGGGACGGTGGTGAAAGGGCCATATGCAATACCGGAATGGGAGATTTCAGGTTTCGTGGAGTACATAAAGTCAGGGCAGAAACAAGGCGACATGTTGCTGGTAGTGCCGGAGGGGGCGTTCGCCGTCCGGCTAGGGAACGAGGCGTCGATCAAGCAGAAGGTCAAAGTAGTGAAAGGGCTTTACTATTCCATCACGTTCAGCGCCGCTCGAACCTGCGCTCAAGAGGAGCGCCTCAACATCTCTGTTGCGCCCGACTGGGGTGTCCTGCCGATGCAAACTCTGTACAACAGCAATGGCTGGGACTTGTACGCTTGGGCCTTCCAAGCCACCTCCGACGAGGTCGCTATTCTCATCCATAACCCCGGCGAGGAGGAAGACCCCGCCTGTGGCCCTCTCATCGACGCCATTGCCATTAAAACCCTCTACCCTCCCAAGGCCTCCAATGGTGAGTCTCTGTTCTAAAAATTAATTGCTCATTCTGTGGAATTTCATTATGGGAAAATTAATTGCTCACTCAGTAGTTGCTTGAATTTATTGTCTCTGTAACCATGTGGGCAGTGTTCATTGATTGCTCCAACCTGTTAATCGATTCGGTTGTTTTATTGATATGATTCTTGAAGATTTTGGAATTTTCCAGTGATTGAAACGTCGTCGTTTTGCATTCGACAGATAATCTGGTGAAGAATGGGGATTTCGAAGTCGGCCCATACGTGTTCCCAAACGCGTCGTCAGGTGTTTTGGTCCCACCGAACATCGAAGACGACCACTCTCCAATCCCCGGCTGGATGGTTGAATCTCTCAAGGCTGTCAAATACATCGATTCCGACCACTTCTCCGTCCCAAGCGGGAAGCGCGCCGTCGAGCTCGTCGCCGGAAAAGAAAGCGCGATAGCTCAGATCGTCCGTACGATCCCTGGAAAAACCTATATCCTGTCGTTCGTCGTCGGCGATGCGAGCAACTCGTGTGAAGGATCTATGGTGGTTGAAGCGTTCGCCGGAAAGAATACACTGAAAGTGCCGTACCAGTCGAAAGGAAACGGCGGATCGAAACCAGCGGCGCTGAAATTCCAGGCGGAGTCGACGAGGACGCGGATTATGTTCCTGAGCACATTTTACACCATGCGAAGCGATGATTTCTCGTCTCTGTGCGGGCCGGTGCTCGATAAGGTGAGATTGTTGAGCGTTCGAAACCCTAAGGCGTGATGAAGAGGAAGAAAATGGAAGGGGATTTGAATATAATAATAGTAAGAAAATTGAAGGAGATCTTCTCTGTGAGTGGTTTTGCTTGTAATCTTGAAGAAGAAGAAGAAACAAAAGAGAAGGGAAGAGAAAAAAGAGGGGTTTTAGCGGAAAAATTAATAAATAATTATATAGTAATTAATACAAAATATAATTAATATATATAATGTATGCGGATCGGATAGGGCTTTCTATATAATAGTGTGATTTTAAGGCGGAGCGGTTTTTCTGTAATTGTGATGTGGAAAAAAAAATCGACTTAAATCGATTTTTTTAATTACTTTTTAATGAATTACAATTACCATATTTCATGATTAATATATTTTTTTCTTTTTAAATTTAAATTCTATTTTTCATTTATTTTGTCGTCACCTGTCACTGTTTCGGCTGATTTAAATCAATTTTTATAATTAAAAATTTATATTTTTTTTTAGAGAAAATAGATCGTGTCGTTTCTTAGATGGGTAAATTTATGGTTTAAGGCAGAGAAAAACGAATTTTTAATGAAAAAAATTACCGGATTAGTTTTTTTATTAATAATACATTAAAATAAGTTTTATTATTTTTATTTTACTATTTAAAGTTAAATTCATAACTAACTGATATATCTAGTTTTATGAAATAATTTTGACATTATATTTTTATTTATAATTAAAAGTTTTGGCCCATTGGTGGTTAGTTAATTTTTTTTAATTTCTATTTTGATCTATTTTTTTAAAAAATAAAATTAACATAAAATTTAGAAAAAAAAATTAAGATACTAAATTTGGAACCAAAATATTTTTTTTTTTTTTTGAAAATATAAGGACTAAATTAAACTAATATTAAAATAAATATTTTTCTCTTCAAAATTTAGTATACCTTCCTATGTCAATCTCAAAGCCCACAATTGTTTGGGCCCAAGTCCAATGTGATAAACCTTCTAACTCGTTATTATTATGATCGCCACGTGTAGGGCTGAAATTCAAGCGGGATTTTGAAGCGGGACTTGAATCCAAGGGTGCAGAAAATCGCGTCAAATAAAAGTCGAACTCCTTCCCTTCACCGAGTATAAAAGACCTCCTACGACCGTCCGTAACACTCTGCCTACCATTACCGACCTTTTGTTCGTCTAAAATTCTACGCTGTTATCTTCATTTCTTAATCCGCAGTTCCAGATAGATATTGTCGATGGTTAGATTTCTTCTCTCTGCTTTCCTTTTCCGCCTATCATTCGACGTTTTCAATGCTTCTACTTACTTTCGGTTTCATTGCTTTGCTCAGGCGCTGCCAAATCAGGCCACCGTGGAGTATCCTAGCTTCAAGCTTGTAATTGTTGGCGATGGTGGAACAGGTATGGACAGAGATTTATTAGTTTCATTTTCTCGGCACTTTATCACGATTTTCCATGTTTCTGTAGTTTTTAGGAACCGGAATTATATGATGCTGCTCCTCGGCTTTTACTGAACTATATCTTCTTTAGTAGAATAGAAATTGTGCCTTCTTTCTCCGTTTTTCTTAGCGTATGAATGAGATTGGAGATGATGCATAAACAGGCTATTGGACTAGGCTTTCTATTGGAAGGCGTAACTTGCTTCATGTGTATTTTGAGATTAGAGATTGTTAGATCTATGCATTTCTGTTTTACAGCTTTTTGTTTATTGTAATGATGTCATTAACCTCTAACGGAGGATTGTGTCCTGATCCAGGGAAGACAACCTTTGTTAAACGTCATCTTACTGGAGAGTTCGAGAAGAAATATGAACGTAAGAATGAACTACGTTGTTAATTAGTCGATCGTCGTTTAATGAATGATATATTTGTAAGGATGAAGTAGTATTAATATCTGGTGTGACTTGATTTGTATAGCGACAATCGGAGTTGAAGTTCATCCACTGGACTTCTTTACGAACTATGGAAAGATAAGGTTTTACTGCTGGGATACCGCTGGTCAGGAGAAGTTTGGTGGACTTCGAGATGGTTACTAGTAAGTGTTTGTGTATTGTATCAACTTTTTTTCTGGTTCATGACAAAGATTTTTACTCTGAATACGCTGGAACATATTGTTGGAGCGGTATTTTTCCATGTGGACTGATCATTGTGCTTGCACGCTCTGAAGTTATTGTGTTTTCCGTACGAGTGATTTGGTTACTGAATATTTATATTTGCTGAAATCTAGTGCTTCTTTTTGGTCTTGTTTTCTAGTAGTTTCTACAATGGAATTGTATTACAGTGTAGTCTATCCAGTTCTTTCGTGAGCCTAATACCTAGCTCAACACCATGGGTGGGAATGTTGTACAGTTTTATCCTTAGATGCCTTTTGATTTTCATTAACCTTGTTTACTGCTACATTATGATCGCTGCTTAAAATCATCAAGTTTTTGGTGGATTATTTCTGCTAGTCATCTGTTTCTCTCTATCTGACTTTTTGTTTAAGAAGCATCGTATGTTATAATTTGGCTGGCATGTTTATGTTCAACATTTCTAATTTCGTTTGTTTTCACATGAACTTGATGAAAAAGATTAGAGAAAATGTAAGGATATTAATAGAAATGTGGAATTTGTTTTTCACAGTAAGTGTATAAAGTGTTTTGATATCTTAATTTTGAGTTGTTTTGTTGGAAGCGGTCATCTTCCAAAATTTTGTTTGGAATTCCTTTATGAACTGTTGTGACAAAGACATTGTTTTACTATGATATTATGCATCTAGCTTTAACTTCTCTTTGTGTGCTCTCACGAGCTCTGCAGAGATAAGCATTTCTTATCTTATCACTCTGTTCATATTGTATTTTAAACGTTGATATTGTAGTAAGAAGTGCAGATTCTATGTTGTACTGTTGCAATATGTAGGAACCAAGATGTACTGTAGTTCTCTTAGAATTTGATGTGGTGCTGTTCTACCTGTGTGCCTTCAATTAATTGATTGCTTTTCCATGTCTTCCTACACTTCTACGCTACTTCAGTATTATTGTGATTTCAATTAATTGTACTTGCTTTGTCCTTAGTGCGTCTGTTCTGTCCATTTTGATCAGCTTACTTGTGAGTTTCTTGTTGCTTTGTTGATAACTCCTTCAGTTTAATCTATTCTGACAAGTTTAGTTATGTGATTGTTTTGGCCTTTTCGTTACTTATTTCGATTTTATTTGTTCTAATAAGCATATTTTTTCTAACCGTGTTTTTTTTTATTCCTTTTTTTGGATTTCAGTATTCATGGGCAGTGTGCTATCATCATGTTTGATGTCACTGCTCGTTTAACGTACAAAAATGTTCCAACATGGCACCGTGATCTTTGCAGGTATTGTGTTCTTATCACTTTAAAACTCAGGCTCTTTGAATGCAACCATTTTCCTAAAACTTTTAATATGTGTAAAATGAAGATGAAAGAGAAATTTTAAAAATAAAAAATAAAACAATTTTCCCGTCTTTTTGTATTGTGTTGGTCCTAAAGTTGGCTTTGCTTTGCATTAGGGTTTGTGAGAACATACCGATCGTATTGTGTGGAAACAAGGTCGATGTGAAAAATAGACAGGTTAAAGCAAAGCAGGTGACTTTCCACAGGAAGAAAAATCTCCAATATTACGAAATCTCTGCAAAGAGTAATTACAACTTTGAGAAGCCCTTTTTGTACCTTGCCAGAAAGCTTGCTGGGTATGTTCTGTTGTTAGTATTAGTTTGATGTAATTTTGGTCAGTCTTTCTCTGACGTACATATAGTCTCATCTGTTGACTCATTGACAAATGAATTCGTCTTTTACTGTCACTTGCAGGAACACGGAGCTCCAGTTCGTCGAATCACCTGCCCTGGCTCCTCCTGAAGTCCAAATTGACATGGCTGTACAAGCACAGTAAGTAACTCAACTATTAACTCATTAATTTTTTTTTTATTAAATATCACTTTTGGTTCCTAAGCTTTCATAGAAGTAACAATTTAATCCAAACATGTAACAATCTAGTTCTCATACTTGTACTTATAAATTGATAACAATTAAGTCCATACCAAGATAAATCTCATAAGAAATAAATTTTTATTACACAAAGACTTAGCCTTTGTAGTTCATAAACCTATTTGTAAGAAAATCCATTAAGCCATAATAATATTACTCATAATAGAGACTAAATTATTACAACTGGTAAAATGTAAGGACTCAATTGTAAATTCGTTCGAAAGTAAGACTTAGCCTCGTCTTAGAATTTGCATGGAAGTATAGGGTTTAGGTTATTGATGAGATGGGTGTTACGACTTTTTTGTTTACCACTTGACAACTAGGCCAAGCCACAGTAGCTCGTATAATTGCTACATCTAAGCTAAACAGATTTGATAGGAATATTCGTGAGAATAATAAATCAGTAAACCAGCCCTGAAACTCATGGATATTTTGAGAAAAAAAAGGGGGGGCTTTATTTTATAGGTTGTGTTAACCCGTTAATTTTTAAATAAATGGCTTTCTTTCTTGTGCTTGTTTCAGGCACGAAGCAGAGTTAGCGCAAGCTGCTGCACAACCTCTTCCTGATGAAGACGATGATGCTTTTGAGTAAGCGTTTGTCTTTTTGGCTCAGTGTTTATAGTCGTTCTGGTTGTCTGGTCAGCTGTTGGTTGTGTAATTCACCAAGTGATTGTCATGGTAGGTTTTGGTTTGATATAGTACTTACTACCGTTATCGATTACAGTTTTGATATATGAATGCCATTTTTGCATTTTATTTTTCTAAGTATTATATTTAGAACAAGAAATATATCTCTCCGTTGAGTAAAATAGTTTAATACATAATTCACTAGAAAATTGAGAACTCCGGAAGAACAAATACAGTGCCTATTAGTGGTTGCTCTCTTGGTTTATAAATACAATGCCTGTTCCAACGTCTCCCCATTTTTGTATTCTTGGATGGGAATGGAATCTTTAATCAAGATGGCTCAGCGAAGAGATATTTGAGCAAGGGAGCAACAACGGCAATGCTCAAACTATTCCCCAGCAATGCATAGCTGCACAGAATAACAAACGTTCTATTAATTCTATGTTTGCCAGTTTTAATCAATGTAGGAAAAACAACTAAAAAGATAGCACCAAACTCCTGAACCAATATTTCAGTAGTTTTTCAAATTTTTGAAATAGTTAAAATTACTTTTTTTCACATTCAAGCTCACTCTGAAAAATGTTTTAATCATCCGAAATCAATTTTGATTGTATGGGAATGAAACAATTAATTTTAACTATTTTGAACTCACTCTCAAACATGCCCT